AAACACAGATGCAATCTACCGGATCGAGCAACGAAACATGTCTTCCGACGTCCGATTGCAACGACATCTATATATTCGCGGGCATCAGGTCTTAAATGGCACCATATCAATGTCTGTCAGTATTGATTTTATCACGGATCTGAGCGGTGATCATTTCCTAAGTGAACGGAGGGTGTTACTTAAATTTGTTTCGAAATATGGGATTTCTGAGGACCGTTTTAAAGATACTTGAGGAGCTCAAAGGACACAATTCTTCGGAATTATTAATGTCCTGCGTTTCGTCTGAAACTACAGTGTGCATCGAACTGTGGAAATGAGTGTAACTGGACATTTTTTGAGTGACGTAAGCAAATTGGAGTCGATGTTTCCATTAGTAACACGTAAATCACAACAATGAAGACTTTCCTCAAAACACAAGAGCTAAAACAGTGTAGAACTCATATATATATTTATATTTATATTTTCCACGACGAAGAATGTGATGGTTGTAATTCCTACATGAAGTGTAAAATAAAAGCATATAAATATTTTAATGATTTTTTCCCATGTGTACAAGAAAGCGTGCATACCAACTACAAATCTGCCTCAAATGTGACATGGTCGCTTACGACGTCAACAGGTAACCAGTTTAAAATACCTATGTCCCTACAACAAATACAATTGCATGTGATGATGGCACTACATTAATTTTAAAATGTGAAATTTTAAAATATAAGAATATTTTAATTTTATGCAAACAATAATAACCACACCGTGCACACTCCGGAACACGTTGCGCGACGCATGTGCGCAGCACCTCCTGCGCATGTACCCACTAACCTAACCTAACACAACCCATCAGGACTGCGTACCCTGAGTCAGCAAAAATCGGCGTCCTTCGCTACAATTTCACGAATATTGAAAGAAGGGTCGAAAATTGCTTAAATTTTGAATGGACGTCATGCCACCTGTAACTTAATAAAATTCATACTCAATTGAATCATAAACATTCTAATAAAGCCGGACGGAGACACCAAAGTCGCGAGGTGGAACACCGAGATATTGGCCACGACCACTTCAAATGTGCGTCATTTATGCACACAAACGCTTGTAAATATTTCCTTAGTAGTGCCTACATGTGTCGAAGTACCCTACGAGACGCCCAAATATAATAAAATAATCCAAAACAAGTGTTTTGGCCATAACAAAGAGGGCCAGTTTTTCAAGGCAACATCGCGGCCCTCTCGCACGTAATGTTTGCAGCATATAATACATCACAACTAAACACACCTGTTCATAATACATGTAGCTGAATTATTTTAGGTCCTTTCAGTAATATAATGCACTATCAGAGAGGTTGAAATCGAAGATTGTCAGAAATTATTTACCACACTTGGCAAGCGTGGTATGCGACGTACGTAAAACGACATTCGAATCCAGAACACCGAGATGGCGCGCAGATACAGTTACATATATTGATCAATCTTCTACGTAGATACCCAAGGACATCCAAGACTCAATCACAGATGCAATCTACCGGATCGAGCAACGAAACATATCTTCCGACGTCCGACATCTATATAGTCACGCGCATCAGGTCTTAAATTCCAGCATATCAATGTCTGACAGTATTGATTTTATCACGGATCTGAGCGGTGTTACTTAAATTCATTTCGAAATATAGGATTTCGGAGGACCGTATTAAAGACACTTGAGGAGTTCAAAGGACACAATTCTCACCAACCTAACTTAAACTAAGCCAAAATAACCCAGCTTAACACAATCTAACCGAACCTATCCTAACCCAACCTAACGTAACCTAACGTAACTTAACCCAAACTAACCTAACATAATCTAATCCAACCCACGCTAACCTAACCCAACCTAACCCAATCTAGCCTAGCCAACCCAACCTAACGTAATCTGCTCCAACACAAATTAGGCTGAGTACATATTGTGACCTTCACATGACCATGACATGTCTATGACCTCTAAATGATGTGTGCAGTGTCACTCAGTCCCCTATGTATATGCGTGAGGAAATATAATTTCAAATGACCTTGAAGAGTTTGAGACCTTTAATTCTCAAACAGTTTGCGTGATCATGTGGTCTTGACATGACCCTGAACCATACGTGGCCTCATCTTGACGTGAGTACGGTCAACCAAATATTTACGGTTTAGCATAAATAAGCGATAAGGACAATGACCTTGAAAATTTCAAACACCTGAATCTAGGACACTATTTGGCCGATTTTGACGTGACTTCCATATGATGTTGACCTATACGTGCCCTCATCTTGACATGAGTATGGTCAACCAGGTATGTACGGTTTGGCAGAAATAAGCGTGAAAAGGTATGACCTTGAGAATTTTAGAGACCCCTATCTGGGAAGCTAGTGGGCCGATTTTGTCGTGACTTCGGTATAACCTTAAACTATACGTGACCTCATTTGGACATGAGTATGGTCAACTAAATATTAACGGTTTGGCAGAAATAAGCGTGAAAATATGTGACCTTCAGAATTTTAAACACATGAATCTGGAAAAATATTGCGCCGATTTTGACGTAAATTCGGTATGACCTTGACCTATACGTGACCTAATTTGGGCATGAGTATGGTCAACTCGGCATTTACGGTTTGGAAGAAATAGGCGTGAAAAGATATGACCTTGAGAATTTTAAAGACCCCTATCTGGGACTAGTGGGCCGATTTCGTCGTGACTTCGGTATGACCTTAACATATGTGTCCTCATTTGGACATGAGTATGGTCAACTAGAGATTTACGGTTTGGCAGAAATAAGCGTTAAAAGATATGACCTTGAGATTCTTAAAGACTATCTGGGAAAGTAGTAAGTCGATTTTGTCCTGACTTTGCCATAACCTTGACCTAACTGATATCAACGTCACTTGAGAATAATTGCTCTGATACCTTCGGTTATAAAGATGTGAAGGCGACAATAATGTACAAAATATAATTTCGAAATTTCAGCGGCACGGGTATCACGTAACCTAACCTAATCCAACACATATAAAGCGTGCTAATTTTATGGTAGCGATTGAGGGGTAGGGTGATTGATTCTGCATGTGAGTACTGCTACCATCGAAGATCCAGTCAGAATAATTAATTCAACTCACCTACGCTACTAATTTACTTATACATACACACTTACACACTCACTCACATATACACAAATTAATAAATATTCACAAGTTCATTCAAACATGATATAATAGGTTACAGTAAGCGGTTCCAAATGATGTTTATTCAATAGTATTCCTTAACTTGTTGATTTCAATTTGGAATTTCTAATTCGTTCTAGGAATCTTGGTTGCTTAACTCGTTTGTATTTATGTCCTTGTTGGTCTTCGTCAGACATGATATTTTCAACACTGACGCGCCTAGCCGTCATCTTCTCGTACGTTATTAATGAGGAATCTAAGACTGCAACAAATGCAATGCAATGCGCGTGTACATTGGACAATCGAAAGAATTGCCCAAAACGAATGATGAATAGTAAGTAGTCTATTCTGTTGGCTCTGTCAATAAGATATACAAAATTTCACGTAAACAAGACGTTATATAGAGCCAAACAGTAACGCCCATTTCAATGACTTCACTAACTGCCACTCAGGTCTAAGCTAAAGTAATTCGTCAAAAACAAAGTAGGCGTAAAACATCTATGTCAGAGAAAAATAACGTGGCAGACTCGGGCTAATGACAAAACAGAAATCGTTGATCGTTACAAAAGATTAGATGGCGAGTTCCTAACACGACAGAGCCGAGCCGGTGAGAGTTTGGATGAAAATTGAGTGTTTTAGAGAAACGCACAATGCAGACAAGGTCCTCACGTAGAACGTGGGTGTACAACGTCCCACTTACTTTAACGTTCCTGGAATATCCCTGGGAACACTCTGGACGACAAGACTCATTCGGACGCGAGTAATATACGGACTCCCAGAGCGAGAACACCAACGAATCCCTGCAGCGACGATCAATACCCTGTACTTACACAACTTCGGGAAATTCACTACTGAGGCAACTCGATCGATGATCGGAATCTAAACCAAAGTGGTCGCCGGGTTTCTTTTTTCTTTTGAGTCTGATGTTGTACAAAGAAAAAACAACGCCAAGCAGTAGACCATAGTAACCGCTATAGATATTCATTTCATCCAAGCGCTAAGTATGGCAGATTACTGCCCTCTCCCCCCTATACACGTTCTAACGTGCTACAACACATTTGCAAATATACTGAACGAATACTGCTTTTAAAGCAACTTCTGCAACTAAAAATCGATGACAGAACGTTTGGCAAATAATTCAACAGATTCACTATGAGTCTGTAAATGTCATCAACGATAATGAGCAAATTGTTACATTCTGTTAACTCAAACAGAAGACAAGAAGTTTCAGTGTCCATTCTCATGTAGTAGAGTTATCTTTAGCCAATATTTAAGTCATTGTAAAGAAGAGTGCGTCATTGGAGAGGTATGCATTACACAAGGGTATACGTAAAAGTACACAAAATTTTAGTCGAACAACCCGAAGGGAAGATACCACGTAGTGGGCCGAAGCGGTCAGATGATATTAAAATGGATGGGATCCACTATTAAAATGTATCTTAATGCAATGATATTTATAAATGTGGAATGTCATCAAGTGACTGAGACCAAGTCCTGTGGCAGGATCTTGTGATAACAAGTGATGGACTTCAAGAGTTCCATAAAAGTCGGGGAAGTTATTAAACAGATGAGCGACTGTAAGTTTCCAAACGAACAGCTTTCGTTGTGGAGTTACTTAAAACACATACCGGTACACCATACAGTATGCATTGAGCAACAAACAATGCGCATTAAATAATGCTAAACTAAGGAGATGCGAACGTGTCGACAAATTGAAGACATGTTTTCTCGTCTAAGAATACGCTTGTCCGCAGACAAGTGCTGTAACGACAACACCAGGTCGCTTCTGGTCTGTTCTCTTGGATCGTCAACTACAGTTACATTACGAGACATTTACCTGTGAATATCCGTACACCAGAATCTTCTTAGCGGCTGCGTCGTGTTTGATACGACCTCCACCAATGCATTCCGAGTCCAATCCCAGAGCCTGAACCGCCTCCGACGTCTTGTCGTAGATATTCCCTGTTGACAAAAATGACATGAACAGGATCGTTTAAGAAATTAACCCGATGTTGGTCATCTAGGTGGTAAAGCCTTGTGGACCTGCACATGGATATAAACCTTTCAGAGGTACATATCGCTCTTATAATAAGGGCTGAATCAGTACATTCCTGCAAAATGTTGATTAAAACGTCAATCTTATCTATTTTAAGAGAGACCAGATAGTTATGGGCGTATGTGAGATGTCAAATTACTCTTTCAATAGCCGATTTTGCAAAATATTTAACGTTCTGCGGAGCATAATTTAAAAGCAAACCTATATATTAATTATCACTGGCGCATGTAGCGATTAGATATAATATCTACAACAGTAAGAAAACAACGTGCTGGGAGTCAGAATTCTCAATACATGCACAACTAAACTAGCATGGTCACAACGGACTACAACAGGAAAGATATCACAAATCGTTAACCAAAACCCGCATTTCAGCTCAATAAAACCCATATGCTGATTTTGTCGAAACCTTGACATGTCTTTGACTTATCCATGACTTCAAATTGAGTGGCTTCAAACTAACATGAGTATGATCCCACATATTAATACCGTTAGGTAGATATGAGGTGCGATCGGAAAGTTTCAAGACTGCGCCTATAAAAACCCGTACACTTATCTCAGGTATTAAATTCATCCATCACCCTCGAAGTAGTTCCCCTGGGAGTGAACACAACGACCCCAGCGCCGCTGCCAAGCCTGGAAGCATCCCTGGACATCTTTCTTTGTCACTCCCAGGGGAACTACTTCGAGGGTGATTTCGCATGTGGAGTTCTTCCTTTAGAATCAGCTGACAGGTCCCAACAATGTCGCACAAGTCGTTATGGTACGACGTCGATCTTCGTGAATGGCCTGCCGAATCTTGGTAACATTTTCGGGCGTTGTGCTCGAAGATGGTCGTCCAGAACGCTCGTCATCATCGACAGAAGTTCGGCCGTTTTTAAAACGTGAATGCCACACAAAAGTTTGCGGACTCCCCAAATGCTTGCTTTAGCATTTCATAGGTTTCCGTAGCCGTTTTGGCGAGTCTTTGGCAAAATTTGATGCACACGCCATTCCGAAATCGCAGGAGGGTCGGTGTAATGCACTACCAAAACGTCCGTAACTAAGAAACAAATGCTAATTCGATGATGCCGGCTGGCACACTGATTCACTATGAATGTAGGCCGCACCGCCTAGCGGCAGAAGCTTGTACTACATCCGATTCGCCCTCTATTGACACAGTCTGGAAACCTTCCGATCGCACCTCTTATAAGCGTGAGAAAAAATATTCTTGAATTGAGCGTTGAAACTTAAAAGTCTCAAAACCTTGGACTGATCTTGTCGTGATCTTGAGGTGATGTTGACCTATCCATGACCTCAAAACAAACATGAATATGGTCTTTCAGGTTCTTACAGATCGGCGGAAACATACGTTTGAAAAAAATATTTACGAATGACCTTGAAAAATTCAAAGGCCTCTGTGTGTATGGAAGACATCAATGTTGTACTATCGACTTCTGCAGTCCGTTGCCCTTTTAACATGAACTTTAACTTTGTTAGAAGACCGAGATAAGGGGCGCATATAACAAAGCGACAATCTTTACAATATGTTTACTACGTAGCCAGTAACATAAAAGACGCAAATGTAAGGTCGAATTGTATATTTTTATGCATTTGAAACGAGTAGCCCGTTGTGGGAACAAAGTAACCGCCCCAACAAAAACGAAAGTTCACAATCTACTTCAGCACTTTACCTGCTCACTCTACTTGCATGATTCGATGTTAAACACGCTACATCACATTAAATGGTGGGGGAACAAACTACGAGTGTTTGAATACACAATGCTGATAAGAGTATGGGGACCTACGACGGATTATGACACTCAAAATTCGCCAAAAATTACTGGAATCTAAAGCAAGTAAATTAGCAGGGTATGCAGAAAGAATGGGGATCATAAAAGGGTAAAAACATTCCTTGCAAAGCCTGAAGGGTGGGGACTACATGGAAGACTTACAGGGTACAATGAACAGGCGTGTTCGGTGAAAGGAATTATGAATGACACGCATACACAAAACCAAAGTGACATAAAACTTGTTCACTTTGAGATGATGCATGGAAAGGAAAACCCTACACTAATCGGAATAATTGTGACAACGATGAACTGTTTCCTCATAATAAACACACATTAAATTCAAAAGTAACTTTTCCCAGTCAATTTATAGTCGACTTCACGGATCGCCAACGTATGCCGGGAACCTTTCTGCCCACGGAATTGTTTTCGAGAAATATTACGTACGCAACTCTGAGGGGAAATAAGTTCCGTCCTTACGGTTTCTTATATTTAGGATAGGGTTAAAAACATGAGTTAATGCTTATGTAACATATCAATGATCCCTTAAACTTAAAAAGTAGAGCTTTAAACGCGCAAGGTTCCGCTTTGAACTGAAATATTACACACACTAAAAGTATCTTCAAACACTGACGGCGTGTTAATATATAACTGCACACAAAAAGATGTACCAATCTGTTTCAACCTTAAAGTGTTATTCGTATAAAATCCTTAAATTAGAAAGACTTCACACGCAGGAGCTTCTTTTATATATTGTAATCACTATTCGGTCCCCATTCAATTATAAAGATGAAACATAAGATGTAAGTTCTTAATTAGTTTCTTAAAACTTTGAAACCAGATAAAAACGGATGTTTGAAGAGAGCTCCACTGATGGCCTGTAGATCAATATAGGAAAAAGCTAATAGCAGGCAAAACTTAATAGGAAAAGCATCCTTCCAGAAGTTCCTTACGGTGAGTGGAAAGCGAAACACTGTAATGAGCTTCTGCACGAATTTAAAAGATGAGAGCTTCGCGTGTACTAATAATGTGAGACCCTAATGAAGGGAGTAGATGGGATGCGAAGAGAACGGATTATGTTGTATCACCTGATCACAGCTCGGCCTCGTTGAATTGCTGCAGGTCCCATTTTTCTAGCGGTTAGAACGCTGGACTTGTAATCCTGGGGTCCCGGGTTCGATTCCCGACGGTGCCCGAATTTATAACTTGTGTTGGGCAAGGCCTTGGTCTAGGCAACACGGAGTTTTCCTCCGGGGCTTCCCCGGTTTCTCCGTGGCATCCCAACAATTACTCCATACACACAGAAGAAGGCAATGGCAAACTATTTCTGTATCACCTGCCTAAAAAACATATGAACAGGTCCCAGTCCGAGAAAAGGATCCTGTTCATAATATGTCGCCAACCTCCTGTAAAGGAGACGGCGTAATAAAGAAGAAGAAGAAGAAGGTCGCATTTACGTATGAAACACTGTGAGAAGTAAAACTTCGAACTTTTGCAATCAAACCGGTTACGACCGAGCCACGGTAGCTGTCAGTATAGTGACTGGCTGCGGACTGGACGACCGGGTTTCGATCCCCGACGGAGGCAGAGCATTTTTCCTCTAGCCTCTGCATCCAGACCGTCTCTGGGGTCCACCCAGCCTCCTATACAATGGGTACCGTGTCCTTTCCCGGGGGTAAGGCCACTCACCCCCATCTAGAGCCGAGGCTAAGAATCAGTTAGTGCTATACCACCACTTCCCCCAAGCGCCTGCATGGCGTATAGTGAGACAGCTTAGCTTTACTTTACTTTACTTTACTTTGCCTTTACTGGTTATGACCATCCACGGCATACTATGAAAATACATCATACTCGTAACTAGTACAGTCGTGGCTTGAAAATATGCAAGATTCAACGCGAACAAATGTTATCTCACAAAAGAAGGCATTTAATGAGTGGTGTAAATAGAAACAGCAGCGGCAGAATAAGACAACAAATAACGTGGAGAATGATGAAGGGTAGAAAGAAGAATGAGGACTAGAATAAGATGGGCTAAAGACGAGAAGCAATAGAAGCAGATGGAAAACGAGAAATAGGAAGGTGAAGAAGAAAAGAAATGCGTAAATGAGCAGGAAAAAGATCAGGAGACACAGAAAAGACGAAGGAAGAAAGATTAATGAATTAATTAATTAATTAATTCATTCATTCATTCATGCTTGCTTTAAAGCAACATTCTTTTCGACTCAACAAGTCATACAGTATCTAATAATAAAATGACGTTTAATGTCAATTTATAAAGGTGTAGAAAGCACCGGCAGTGGCCTTAAGGATCAAACTTTCACACTTGTCTGGAAGGACTGAGGAAAATCACAAAAACTCGCAAGTCTGAGTAACCGGTTTCTGAGTCGACGTCTGAATCCGGAGTCACCCAAACACAAAAGCTAAAACTTTTAAATCGGTACGTTCGGTCCGTTAGGAGGAGAGGGCATCTGAACTAGATATCACATTCTCCAACACTCCAAATATGAAACCGACCTAACAGTATGTGTTAACCCAACCGAGAAGCTACCAAACATCACGAGTTGCTACCCAAAAAAAAAAGGCAAATTATGATCTGTCATGACAACGAGCGGTCTGTGTCTCTGTTTAATAAAATGAGGAACTGGCTCAAAGTTTCTGTCATGTGTAGCATGTACGAAAAGTGGATATGCATTCACTTTTAAATCTGAAAAATAATGTTTCTAGTTAATTCCATTAGCCTGTTGAAGGTCGGACATGGTTCATGTATTTCTCATCGCTCCCAATCTGCCTTGCACCTAAGTCTTTTAGTACACAAACATCAACTCAAAATGTTTTTGTTCAGGTCATCCTCTATTACAAGATAAACATACCCGTTCTGCCTTCTAAGACATGTTTCTTCCACTTCCTTTATAATGGCTCCGCTAATTACGATTTCTTGTGAGCCGAGGCTAACTAAAGCCTGGAATCTTCCTAGTGCAGATACTGACAAAAAGAAACTCCCTTCAGGTGACTCTATCCCCCTCGCCGCCCATTAGAGGCAGAATTTCAACAAAATGAGACGGAAGTAAGGGCAAAATCCCACTGAACACAATAACGCTCCTCCTGGATCCGCGGGTTTTATAGCTACGATACAGAAA